TCTAGATACTAACAACCACATTTTGGACTTGATTCCTTCTGAAGTTGGGTGTGCTTTTGATCCACATATATATTTTGCAGGTCAGACCCCATTACTACCACAAAATCAGCCATCGGACTCAAAATGCAAGAGTCATTCATCAAAGCCATTTGTAAAACATCTACCAGGGGCCACTGCAACTGTCTTTAGCTGGAACCTGCAGCTTTCACATGCCCATCACACGCCCCAGGCTCTGGTTTCTGATGCCACCTCCAGACACCAGCGTTTCAGTGAGCACGACTCTGTCTCTAAACAGCAGCTACAAACTGCACCTATGCTTCCCAGGAAGGACAAAAAGAAATGGCAGCAAAAAGCTCGCTACGTTTTGTGAACTCTCAGAAACACTCCTAGTTATATTTGAGCAAAGGGCAAACTCCACCTCAGGCGTATTTGGAGATTTCTGTGGCTCAGATTGGACATTTCTCACCCAGTCTGTTTTTACAGGGCTGTTGTGCAGTACTGAGCAGGGAAGGAGCTGAGTTATAAGTCTCTCCTCCAGTTTTATTCCTGGCAGAGACAATTTGTAGCAGTGTTGCTCAGCACGTCGAGTCTGGCACCTGCTTACAATAAATCCCTAATGATGTTGAAAAGTTAAACGTCCATTTAGTTTAATTTCTGTTTTAGATTCGTATTTCTATGTACCGTAAATGCTAGAAAGAATGTTTTTTTGAAATAATGCTGCATATTTACCTTGGAGATCCTCTACAATTGGCTGCCCTTCATCTAAGATTTCATTCTACTTGCAGAGAGATGCACTCAGCACATGGAGTCCAACAGGCCATACCTTTACGTCAGCTGCGATACTCGTGGAAGGCCTCCTTGCAGGTGGGATGGGTCAATGCACTACTTTGGGTCTCAGAAACCTAAGGGGTTTGAATCCCACCAGGCACCAAAGGAAGAAAAAAGCCTCATGGGCCGATGTTAACCTGCGCAGACCAGGTTGGGAGTCTTCGCTAGAGATCTCTGTGTGACACGAGGCTGAGAAAGGCTGTTGCAACCTAGGAAATGCCTTGTCCCAGAGCTTCATCCTCAGGACCATCTCTTTTCAGTGCAAACATCTTTTCTCGGGAGATTGGGGGTTCAAGTGGCAATTAATTATAAGGTCAGAAGAGCCTATTCCAATCTCTCTGTTGGGAGAAGGGACTCACCAGTGCTGAGGATGCGCACCCACCCACCCAATCTCCTTCCCTCTCCCAAGCGCGCGGCACAGGCGGCCCTCGCAGGACCTCCATGCCAAGGTGTGAAAGACCCTCTTCCAGCAGAGGCACCTGGTCCTTGGCAGCCGCCGCGCGCAGCTGCGCTGACAGCTCGGGAGCTCTGCTGGAGCCTGCCCGGGGGATAAACTGCTGATGGGGCCTGGCCGAGCCGCTGTAAAATCTTGGATGACATTTTCTCTCAGCTCACCTTTGATCCTGGCAAACGTGCTCTGGGCGCTATGATTTGATTGAGAATATCTCTGTGTGCAGATGTCCTGCAGAAACTACACCCACAGCTGTAAATCAGAAAGCCCTCCCCAATCAGCTGGTTAGCAACAACGAATAATGATTTTTCTAATGGGAACTGGCCCGCATTCAACCCACTCCTTGATTTTTATTATTTTTTTTAAAAGTAAGGACTATTTATATCGAGCGACTTGCAATGAGTAAGACTCTTGGACTTGCTGGGGAGTTATCGAAGATCAAAAAGCAGCCAAACAGCGAGATTTCCGGAAGCTCAAGTTAAGGGGATCCTTGTCAGCACAGGCAGACCCCAAAGCACACTCGCACGGAGACACACACAGAACAACACGCGCGTGCGATGCCCAGGGCTCCCGCGCGCGTGGCCGCGGGGCTCGCCAGGGCGCTGCAGCCCTGTGCCGCTCCAGGTGTCCAGCGGGAGCAATCCAGATCCCTGGCCACGCTCCTGTGATGACCCTGGTCTGAAGACGGGCTGTGCCCACAGCATAGGCTGCCGGCTTTCCAGTCCCCCACCTCCGTGCTTTACAAGGTTTGCTGCAATCTCCTGTCTGCTCCCCCGTGCTTCTTTAAGAAGCTGCAATGTCGTCAGCGCGCTAGTTTTAAGAGACAAAGATCCTGGCCCAGAAAATGTGATCGTTTTCCCCTTAAACGCACTGCCTGCATCACCCAAAATGCTTGAACCCCATGGGCAGCGAGTGCGGGAAGGGGTCCGAGCAGATACGTGCCCCCACGTGCCACCGCCGCCGCGGGCATTTCGTTCGTTATCACACAAACCAGCCCGGTAGCTGGCCCGCGGCAACCA